TGTCTTCCCCTCCCTCCTCCATCCCCTCCATCTCCCTCCCTGGACAGCCTGCGAATCCTGGAGGGACATCGCTCCCTGCCGCCTCCTCCCTTCCTCTCTCGTTCCCTCCTCCTCACTCTCCATTGCCTGCACCCCCCCGCCTCCTTCTTCGGCGGACCCTCCGCTCTCATCACTGCCTTCGAAGTCCGCTTCTTCCCTCCCTTCCATCTATTCCTCCACCTCCCTCCCTGCCATTCAACCCCTTCCCCCTCCTTCCACACCGGATATTACTGCCCAAGTCCGCTCCTTCCTTCTGGAAAAATGGAAGGTGGGGTGGGGGCAGGACGTGAAAGGAAAAGAATTTGCTAAGGCGGTGGAACTTTTGTCGCAGGTGAGACGGGAGGTTAAGGAGAAGACGGACGGGGAGACGGAGAGAGGAGACCGATGTTGATTGATTCAGGAAGCAAAGCTTTGGGCGGAGGAAGGCTGGACGAGGTCGCAGAAAAATGCATTGCCTTGTTTCACTTTGTGGGGATGTCTTCGCTTCTCCCCTCCCATGCGCCTGGGCTGTGGTCCTTTTTTCTCTTTTGCAACCCCTGCCTGGTTAACCCCATCCCTCCGCGATCTCGATCTCTGTCAGGACAACGCCTCAGCCAGAAGCTTTTTGGAGGATGTAGCTCCTTCTACTCCGCACATTGAGACATTGGCTTTGTCTTTCATTGTTGTCATGCGCTGCGGAGCTTTTGATGCGTGACGCATCTCTTCGATAATGAAAAAAGTAAAGAAAATGGATTGTAAAACTTGACTCAGTGTAGTCATGCCGGACCAAATTAAAAGACAGGAATGCGTGGCTAGGCATTGATATGAAATTAAATAACAATTGAACTGAAGTATCACATGTATTCTCATAGCAATTAGGCTGTGGTTCTTTGATTTATGGATTTTAAGGCTTCGCAAATGCGTCCACAGCGGACTTTGGGCCTCAACTATCGAATTTTCTTTGCTGTCAGAAGTACGAATGCATCGCTTTACAACCGCGAATCTTCCAAATATAAAGCTTTCTGCTATCGTATTAGAGCCTTCCCCGCTTTTGTTTGCGGGAGGTTCTTTTTCATTTCTGGATTCAAAATCTGGCCACCCAAAAAAATGTTAGACGCGACATGGGCTTTTAAAATGGGGAAAAAAGCGGTTGACATTTAAACATGGCATTAAAACGGCCAAAATACCAGGCATTTTCACGCTTAACGCGCCCAGAAATGGGGCTCTCGGCGCCTTCGGAGTGTATTTTGACGGCGTGACGAAGCCCTCCTATAAAATAAGGCTTTTTAAAACCCACATTAAAAAAACACCGAAAACCCACTAACGTAGAGATGAGCAAAGAGGCAAAAATAAAAAATAGCAAAGAAATGCAAGCGTATCTCGACCAAACTCGTGGCCGACGCCGGGAATGCCGACGCCCATGAAAATGAAATTATGAGACAAAGTGGCCTGATACCAGCACCAACCCCCCGAAAAAGGAGGGAATCCTGTGAGTCCACACGACGGACAGATCCGCCGGCCAATGCCTTTAGGTCGCACGTGTCATGCCTGCTGAAACCGTGGACGCAGGAGAGAGCCGCCAATGGCTCCGTAGGCGGTGTCATGCGCGGTGTACATATACGGATTTATCTTCTGAGGCCATGGGTGTTGCCTTCCTCAACGACAAGACCCCCCTCTCTTCTTTTCTCGCTTTTGCCTCGCCCCTTTTCTTTTCCTGGTCCTCCTTGCACCATGCGCTGCGCACACATGCACGTGTTGTTCCTTCGTCGACGTGTGTGGTGGTTCATAGGGTGGCAGGAGGAAGGGAGGCCGGTGTCACGTGGGGGAGGTGGTTGCGTGGTTAGCGAGGTAGCGAAGGGGAGGGGAGGCTAAGGAGAGCACGGACCTCCCCACCCCCTGGTGTGTTTTCTGCAAGCAGGCTTTTCCCATGCGTGGTGCCGCGCTGGATCGTCTTACCATGCCTTCATGTCTTCACAAACATGTCCAGATTGAGACCAAGGCCGCGTGTGCGCATTTTTGCTGCCAATTTACCACGGTGGCATCTGGCTTGAAAGGCGGTTTCTCTTCCTTTCTCCCGCCTGCCTCCTCACCCTTGTGACGGCCAGGCTATTTTTTGCACATCACTGCGTCCTTTGAACAATGGATCATCTCCATCAAGGCAAAGTCACATCCGACTATCGCGGTGAGTATCTGCAAGGGTGTATCTTTTCCTCTCGCCTTCCATACTTTTCTCCTTCCTTCCTTTCCCTTTTTTCAAATTTGTTTTGGGGGGTGCCGAGTCCATTGTTTGTTGCCCTTATCCGCGTCCGCTGATCAGGCCGACGCCACCACTCTTTGTACACTTCATGACACTTGTATCTACCTGATTTTGTGACTCGGTGGATTATCCGACGTGGATCATGTTCCTGTCGTCTCTCGCTGCGCCCATATTCGTACATGGAGGCTGTGGAACGTCCACCAACGTTGTTTCACCCCGCTTTTCCTTCGCACCCGTATACCTGTAGGCATTCGTTGGCATAAGTGCAACCGGAAATGGGAAGTGCAAATTAAATACCGGGGAAAGAAACTCTCCTTGGGGTATTTCGACGACGAGTTGGTCGCCGCGCAATGCTACGACCGCCGCGCCAAGGAGCTTTACGAAACGCCCCTTTTAAATTTCCTGCCAGGAGGAAAACTCAATCCCGAGAGGAAACGACGCGTGGATCCTCGAAGCTTGAGGTAGGGAAAGAGTGAGGGAGGGAGGGAGGGAGGGAGGGTTTGATTGCAGATCCTTCCGCACGAGGGCGCTCGGCTTTTTCTCTTTAACCTCATCTTGCTCGCCCGACCTCCCTCCTTTCCTCCCCCAGGCCACGGCGCATCCCTCCTCCTTGGTGCGCCGATAAGTTTGTCCCCCTTCCGCCCGAGTCTGCGGACAGCGAGGCTCCCCGCCTGCGTGTGCTGATCCCGCGCGAGGGAGGGCGGGGGACTGGGCGGGGGGGAGGGCGGGGGGCAGGGCGAGGCCGGAAGCGTCGAAGTCCCAGTCCAAGCCCCAGCCGGTACCCTGAAAAATTCTACAGCGACGAAGAGGAAGGCGGGGAGGAGGAGGTAATTTTGTCGGACGAGGAGGAAGGAGGTGGGGGCGCGTGGGACCGGGGGGGGGAGCGCGGAGAAGGGCCTGTTGCAGCTACGCATCAAAGCCCGTCGGGAGGCAGGAGGCAAACCGCCCCTCCATTCTCCTCGCCTGCCCCCTGGTCCCCCTCCCCCTGTGGCGGAGCCTCCCGAGCACCAACCCTGGAATGCCCTACCCCCCATGCCGCAGCCGATCTCCCTCCTTCCCTCCCTCCAACCTTCAATCCAACCTTTGCCCGCGGCGGGGAAGGAGGACGAGAAGGACGGGAAGGAAAGCCTGGGCGAAGGCACGCTGGAAAAAGGTCCGACAGAGGGGAAAAAGGCGCGAAAGCAATCTCAACAAGGGGCGCAGACACACGACACCAAGCCCTCTCCCCCTCCCTCCACCGCGACCTCCCTCCCCACCTGGCCTGCTCCCCCTCTCCCGGGCTACCCGCCTCCCTCCGCCGCGCCCCCTGCCGGGAGCTCGACCCTCCCTCCCCCACCTACCGACCTGGCGGGCCGACACTGGACCCCGCAGGAGGCACATGCCTACTACTACCCCCAGTGGCACTCGGCGACCACCCATCCCCCGGCCCCTCCGGCCTCCCAGACCCAGCCTCAGCAGCAAGACAAAAATGCCGGGCCGTCCTCCTACTCCTTTCCTCCCCCTCCCCACCCGTCCTACCCGCCCTATCCCCTCCCTCCTCCCCCCGGACACGGAGTCCAAGGCTCGTACCCCCTCTATCCTCCCCCTTTCTCGTCCTCCTACCTGCCCCCCCCCCCTCCCCCTACCTCGGGCTCGGAAGCCGCCGACAAGAACGCGGCCTCCACCGGCACCTCCCTGCCGCCCTCCTCCTCCGGCCACACCACCTGTGACGCCAGTAGCAACAACAGCAGCAACAACCCTTCCCCCGCCTTGGGCGCGGCGGCGGAAGGGGCCCACCCGACCTCCTCCGCCCCTCAGCAGGACTTGGCCGTGGGGGTCATGCTCTCCGTGGCTTCGGACGACGGCGGGGCGGAGGGTGGGATGGAGGACGGGATGGAGGAAGGGGCGGAGGGCCACGTACCTTCCCAGTACCCCGGGGTGCATTGGGACCGGGAGAAGAAAACCTGGAGCGCCTGGTTAACCTTGCCCGGTGGAGAATACCAATGCTTGGGAGAAAGCTTCAGGGACGAACACGCTGCATTGACGGCCCAAACGGAAGCTATCGCGAATTACTACAGGACCCTGGGGATGATTCCTCCCCCTCCCCCCCCCGCCTTGGCGGCGGCCATGGCCCCCGCGCCCGCCGTGGACGGGACAGAGGGAGGAAAGGAAGGGAAAGAGGGTGGAGTGGAGGCAGGCATGGAGGTGGTGGGAGAGGAAGGGCTTCCCACTCCTGCCGCTGCGCCGGCGGTGGCCGCCGCGGAGGTCGAGGGAGCATGGGAGGAAGAGGAGGGAAGGAAGGAGGAGGAAAGGGAGAAGCCGAAGGAGTTGGAAACGGAGGGAGGAGGACCGGGGCACCGGAAACAACAGCCGAGTGAGGGCACCGCAGCCGTCGTTTCCGCGTTGTTACAGGTGGGGAAGAGTGCCGCAGGAGAGGAGGATGAGCTTTTGGGCCTCGGAGTGGCGGCGGCGGCTGGGGCAGGCACCTCGTCGGCTTCTCCCTCTCCCGGACGTTGAAAGGAGAGGGAAGAATGGGAAGGATTATGGCGTGGAAATTTAGAACAAAGAGGGCAAGCAGGAGGGCGGGGAGGGAGGGAGGGAGGGAGGGAGGAAAGGTGGACTTTGCAGGAGTTGGAGCAGGAAATGAAGGACAAAGAAAAGAGGGGGAGAAGAGGCAGGGTAGGAAAGGAGGGCCGATGTTTTTAAGTAAGGTAAAATCGCTAAGTTTTTCTTCGTGCGGATGCACAGAGTCGAGGGTTGCGACGAGTAGGTGGAGTGTCGATAGAAGCGCGACGGCATAGGTCGAGCGCCTAGATGGGGCCCATGAAGAGGGGAAGCATGCGCCAGAGACGGGAAGGAGAGTTGGATGGAGGCAAAGGTCGGCAGACGCGGGAAGAATGGGAAAGAGGAAGAAAGAAAAGGGAGGGTGCAAGAAACGAGTTGACATGCCGCAGTCGTCGTCGGAGGGACTTAAGGAAGCCGCGGCGAGAGAGCGCAGGGCTTCAGAAGGAAAGTCTGTCTATCCCAGCATGGGTGGACAGACGACCCCTGTCGCCTCCCAAAGCGACCCGGATGTGTTGGCGATAGGACTGTCGTCGAGAGGAGGTTGGGGTGGAAGAAAGGCAGTGCCAGCGGAAAATGAAAGTCCCGAACCGGGCCGCGTCAAATCAGGCGCAGGAGGTGGTAACAAGGAACAGAGTGAGAGTGGAGCACTGTCGTCCTGAGGTGGGAACGGAAGAAGCGGGCCAGAGGGAGACGAAAGGGGCCATGTCGACAAAAGAAAAGGGGCAGGCCGTGTGAAAAGGAAGGGAGGGAAAGGCTCGAGGCGCCATTCGTTTCCCATGGGAGTGTATTCGTCTGACCGGGGTGGGCAGGACGGGCAAAGAGGTTATGTTCTCCTATATTCTGCGTACAGCGCCGAAACGGGTACAGTATCTGAGGATGGAGAAAGGAATCGGACGGGCGAAAAATGATGGATCGTGGACGACTCTTGGTTTCTACTGGTACGGTGACGAAAAAGCTTAATATTTTTTCTTATCCATGTTAAAAGGAGAAAAGTAACGACGAAGGTGATATAGCGGGGGAAGAGATTCGTGGGAAGGTATTGGGAAAGTGGGGAAGTGAGAAGAGAAGGTCATTAAGTGGAGTAAAAGGAATATAGAGGAGGGAACCGGTGAATTCTAATACCCACGGTTCCACACCTGGATATCATGCCAGAGGCAAAGCAATTCAGGTTCATGAGGGAACCACTCCATAAAATTGGAAGCAGTAGAAGCAGTAGCACACGGGAGAAGTGTCCCGAGCAAACTTTGGCTCGTGTGTTGAATCTTTTGTCTTCAGGGTCGCTCAGTTCTTCAACGTCGGTGATTCTCTACTGACTTCTACCGGTGTTAATTTGCCATTCCGTATGATCGAGTTCAATCTCACTCTCTGTTGCCTCAATTTAATGGCATTATGGGATACGGGTACTCCAAGCAGCACCTACGAAAATTTGCGGTCATCTTTAAATCAAAGAATCTCGCTCGTTGCAACTCCATCGTGATTGACTTGTCTCCTCGCTTCCGCTCCTCCTCACCATTTTAAGAAAAATGTAATTTCAAACGCTCGATAGTCGTCGATATTCAATCTTTGAACACTACATCTAGAAGAGTCATTGGCACGTTGTCCTGTAGGTTGTCGTGCCCGGGCCTTTTTTCAAAATCGTGACGTGACGTCTGGCTGGAAGGAGGTTGACCGAGATGGAAAGGGAGGAAATCACGACGATTGACCACCTCTCGGACTAGTTTTAAAATAAGGCACCATGACAATGCCTGTTCCAAAGACTTTGCCGCGCATTATCGAAAAAGATGTGAGGGAAACTGAAATGAAGGCTCGTGGGACATAAGTGGCATGCAGACGGGCGAAATAAGAACAGCACCACAGCCCAAACGCCCGAGGCGGCAGGTACAAAACCCACGAGGATTCCATGAAAGGACAGAGAGTAATCCTTTAAATCCACTCCCATCCTGCATGAACCCACCTGTCAAAGCTCCCCCTGCGCGCTACGCCCGTGTCCATGGCCTGAGTTTGTCCACCAGCTGGCTTGAAGTCATCGAGATCTTGCTGCGGCGCCGGCGCGAGAAGAGGAGAGAGGCCCTCCTCCGTCCCTCCTCACACCCAACGCCTTGACACCAAAGCCGATTTTGCCATCTTTCAAGGGCACTGACCTCCGGTTTCATGGCGTGCTTTGGCAGGAGTGGGGGAAGGCGAGTGCTGAGGGAGCGTGGGGGGGGTTTCGGGGGCGCGATGGATTTTTGAAGGTGGTGCTTTTTTGGGTGGCTCACGCAGCACACGCACACGCCGAAGGGGGGGGTCGGCCGGAATTCTTCCTGGTGTAATTTTTCTCCTCCAGCTTCTCCACGCTGTGTCTAACACCCGCATCATATTCCATCCACCGGCGTTATGGCCTGGAAACGTTTTCGTCGTGAGAAAGACTGGGATGATCAGACTTGACCTTCTTTGTACTCATCCATTTCACCGTGGGCACCGCATCCACCCCCTCAACAGCAAGCAGCAGAAAAGCAAGAAAGATGGGAGACTACGACGCGTATGGTGTCCCGGCCCCCGTTGCTGAAGCCCCTCCCCGCCCAACATCTCCAGGGCAAAGCGAAGAGGTACGCATAGAATTACTGAAAAACATGGTGATAGGGGCTTGGATTGGAAAAAGTGGCAGATGCGGGCGTTCCATGGTCCTTCTTTGATGATCCCCTCTGCGCTCACCTGATGAATCGTACGTTCGCGCCTGGTTAAGTTTTTTCTCAGAGAATATAGTTGGTGATACATGAAATTCGATGCCTCACTGTTTGATCATGTAGTTTTTCGAAGGCAAATGGACCTAAGATTATTTAGTCGGTGAGGAGAGTGAGCCGTGTTGGCAGGTGCTGAAAACTGAATGAAGTGTGTAGGTGCTGTAAACTATAATAAGTGTATCGCTACCTCTTTATCGGATAAGATGACCCATATGCGTAGATAAGTCTGCCCGGCGCTGTGCATAACCATGGATGTGTAGCTACACGTATCTTGGCGGTCGAATGTGCGTCATGGCGCGGCTCTTACAGAGATATGAGTTCCTTGAGTTCTGGAGAGCCGAAAGTAGTTCTCTCCTCCCCTACCCGGCCCCAGAAGACTTCGTTTACATGAAGCGGACTACTTGTATGCACCTTTCCCGCTGACATCTTTTCCCTTCGCCCCTCTTTTCCCCTTCCTCCCCGGTACGACCCAGGGTTACAAACTCTTCGTTGGCAACCTTTCTTTCCGGACGGAATCCGCCGCCTTGCGCGAAGCTTTTGAACCTTTCGGACGGATTGTCTTCTCGACCGTGATTGAAAACCGGGAAACGGGCCAGAGCCGTGGCTTTGGCTTCGTCGTTTACGAACAAAAACACGAGGCGGATGCCGCTATTTCCCGCATGGACAACGCCGAGCTGGATGGACGCACCCTTCGGGTCAATTTCGCGCGGCCTCGGGAAGAATTCGGGGGCAGGCGCGGCGGGGGACGGGGTGGTTACGGTGGGGGCTTTGGGATGGGCCGAGGCGGGGGTGGGTTTGGGGGTATGGGTGGGGGAGGCTATGGCGCCCCTCGTTACCCGCCCGCGGGCGGTTACGGTGGAGGAGGAGGATATGGCGTTGGAGCCGGGTTGGGAGGGCAAGGGTACGGTGGTTATGCCGGGGCCGGTGCAGGCGGGTATGGAGGAGGGGGGGGCTACGGGGGAGCAGCGCCCTACGGAGGGGGGGGAAGGGGGGGAGGCTGGTAATTTCTTGTCGCTCTATGCGATCGGGGAAGGGAAACGCGCGTGCGCGTAGGGGTGGGAATGTATAACTTTTTTCTATTAGCTTTCGTGGCCTGTACTTTGAATTTTCATATTTTGAGTTCAAATGTTGAAGACCGTTGAAAATTGAAAGAGGGGAGAGACCATAATGCAAGCTGCAGCCGCACTATTAACAAGGATATACGAAAAGAATGGAAATTGAGAAAAAGATGGAAAGACAAATGCCAGCATACGACAACAAAGCACCACCGCGACACGACGGCCGAAGGGGGGCAGGAGGGAGGGAGGGAGGAAGGGCGGGAGGGGGGGTGGGCCGGAAGGAAAGAATGATGGAGGGCGAAGGGGAGAGCAGGGTCGAGATGCGAATGACGATGCGGATAAGCTTTAGCAGTGGAGAGAAGTGACACTTTTGTTGTAAAGATTGAAAGGGAAGCACCAAGAGCATTGGACGGCTCTTGTGTGACGACTAAAATGATGACGGTGAAGAGGCAGAAGTAGAAGGAGCACAGCAGCAGCAGCAATAGCAACGCGCGGGTGTGTATGAATAACCGCACGTCGTGAGCATGGGGATGACATGGGTGGGGAAGGAGGGGAGAGGTGTCTGAAAGCCGCGATGGTGCGTGTGAGGTATATCAGGGTGTGCAGCGGGAGACTACTTGCACACGGGCGTGGACCAGCCTGACTAGATCCGAACGGGCCCTCTGAAGCCATTTAGGGCCGTGTCTTTTCTTCAATTGTGAATGAGAAGCAGCACTTGATTCTCGGGTGACGCAAGCGCAGATGGGGGGTTGGGGGGCAGGTGGAAGGGAAGGGATGGTGGAGGGAGGTCCGGTTTGTAGGGGTCGAAGGGGTTAGGAGACTTAACGTGCAGCCAAATGGTATCGAAACTTTGTCAGGGTGGAGTCAACTTCTAATCCGTGCGTGTGTGTGTGTGGCGCGTGGGCCGGCATCGGGAGGAAAGGGGTAATAAAAATGGGGCGCAGTCTCCAGGATAGTAGAGGAGCGGTGGATGGAACGACAACAACGATTTCACACGTCTCTCCTTGCGCCACCTCTAACACACACGACACTCAGCTGGATTTCTTTTTTCCTCACAACTTTGCTTTTTCTGGGACACTTCGGGTCGCCCCTCCCCTTCTCCCTCCCTCCCTCCCTCTCTCCCTCCTTCGATTTCGTCTTCTCCTTTGCACACCATGTCAGAAAAACTACCCGTGTCCTCGGTCTACTATCCTCGCTGTGCTCCTCGAGTCCTGTACATTTCATTTCTGTTCCGCTCCCGGTCCTCCCTCCCTCCCTCCCTCCCTCCCTCCTCTACTCACGCCATGGTGTCGTAAGTGTGGCGCCCACCACTAAACCCTACTCGCTTTAATATCCCTGTCAAAAGTCCCCCATTGCTTGCCTCTTCTGGTATCTCGCGCATCTGGGTAGGAAGAGATTAGGGGGGGCAAGAGAATGAGGGCAAAATGGAGAAAGAAGAGAGGAGAGATTATGGTATTGTGGAATACATTATCAATACGGAAAAACATATACCTCAACTATAAACCGCCCTCCCCCGATAATATACATTGTATAGTTACGCTAAAAATGGATTGACACGGACTGGTGCGCCCTTTTACGAGGTAACTTGCCTTAACACTACCTATCTCCCTCCCTCCTTTCGCCCCTCTCTCCCTTCTTCCTTTCCATCCTCTTACTTTGTCGCACAGGCCAACGATGGCAGCGCGCAAGTCCACGAGGGACTGGCGTTGCGATGGTAGGACTGCAAATTTGATCTTCTTGTACTTGAGCCCGTCGAGGAGGATGCCCCAGTCTTTCTGGAAGAAGAACCGATCGAGGAGGCGTCAGCTTTGTCTTTAGATTGTCTTGGTATGCTTATCTTGGCGCATACTTGGCGAATTGTTTTCCCGTTCATTGGATACAGAAAGCTCCCTTCCCCAGGGCCTTTCTCCCAGATCCTGTGGCTCCTTGTGGCCGTCAAGTTCACCACCCTCCCTCCCTCCCTCCCTCCTCTCCTCCCTCCCTCCCTCCCCCCTCACCGTCTTCTCCAAGGCAAAGGCCTCCAACACAATGCTTTTGGACGGGTCTTTGGAGTAGTTCTTCCGTTGGATGCCCGTCACGGTGGTGTGCCTGTCGATCCGG